TAACTGGAGCCCCCAGAAGAGACGGGAGGGCAGAAAAAGTTTTGAGGACATAACAGCCAAGATATTTTCCAGTTTGATTAAAACTATAAACCCACAGATCCCAGAATCTCAGTGAACCCCAAACACAAGAAAAATGGTGAAAACTATGCCACAGCACATCATAATCACTCACTTCTCACTACCCACAGGTGCTTGGCATTTGAGAGAAAAAGCAGCCTCCTATTGAGAGCCACAGGAAAAGCCAGGTCTTGCAGGGCAGAGTCAGGCTTCAGGCTTCGGGTCTGCTAGGAGGTAGAGGGAAGTAAGCCAGGTGATTGGCATATGGGGTCCAGAGGGCATTATGAGAAAGATTTAAAGAGGAGATTGGCCAAGGAAGAAAAGACCCACAGCAGAATGGACGAGGACAGGAGAAAAAAAGTCTGTGGCCCATTTTAACAGTGGGTATACCTATTATACCTGGGAGATTGGGCTAGCTTTAAGTTTTCCAAGGACTTCTTCCTGTTCCCAGGAGCTTTTATTTGTTCAGGACAACACATTCCTCCTTCTGGTAAATGCTCCTTCTAACCAGGTGTGTCATGTCAGAATCATAACTTTTCACAAACCCCATCTTCTTGATCACTGTGATTCAGACAGTGGGTGAGGAGCTGATGCAAGCTAGACCACTTGTACCCCTTCCCTGGGAGTTTTGCCATTAGGAGCAGAGATGCCAGGTCTCATGCCCTTTTCAGTGGCAGAACTGAAGATATGGCCTGCGAATTGCTACTGGCTATGTGTCCTGACTTAGGAAGAAAGCTAGTCGGGGAGAGTAAAGCTAACTGAGGGAGGCCTGCTGGCATTCCAGTCACTTTCAGTCATCTCTGAAGCCCTCTGCACCCTGGCGCTTCCCATGCTTTGGTTATGTGAACCGCTGAATCACCGTATTTGCCTAAGTTAGTACAAGCAGTGTGTTGAACATGCAGGAAACATCAGGGGATAATCACAGCCACTTTCATTTGTGTCTCTCTGTCCCCATAAGATATTTTCAGTGTGGGAGGTCCAGAGAACTTTTTGGTACCTCTGAGGTAATAGAAATCCCATGGCCACATTGAATCACAAATTCCAAAATTAGTGTCCTGCCTTATGGCAATAGTCATAGCTTTCTGTTCGTTCAGAGCTGCAGTGACTTCTCCTCCCTGCACAGAGCTTAGAACCAGCGGTGCCGACCCAGGGAGGGGATATGCCCTGCTTGTCCTCCTCCTTCCACTCGTCCCCCAGTTGCTGGCTGAGGTTTTGGACCTCTCTGGAGTTGGTGGGGAAGGGAGAGAGAATGAGCGGAGAAGACACAAGATAGTGTCAGCACTCCCTGAACTGAAAAGTGTGTAAAGCTGACCCTTGTGGGGTTCTCTTGTAGACATTTTGGAGACCCCTCCATCTGGGGACCTCTCCTCTGTAGGTCTCCTGATGTGGGCAATGCACTCACCAAAGCCTTGTCACTCACTCCTTCTGTAGGTCCTGGGACTCCCGGTGTCTGCTCTTGCTTCTGTCTGCTGAGGACCCTTCAGCCTGTTGGACACATCTTTAGGAAATGACCTAAAACAACCCAAACTAGCTTATTCATGCATCATTTTCTGCAACAAATTCTGGAAGTGCAGGCCAGTTGCCACGGAGCTCTATCCTTTGCAGCCAGTGCATCTTGTGTCCTTTATGTTTCTCAGGTAGAATTCAGACACCTGGCAGTCCACTGTATTCCCCATTCTTTAAGGGTCATGTTAAGCTTTTCTCACCAGGTTTGAGTAAGAGCCATGTACTACCCATTTTTCCCCTGCAGGAAGGTGGAGTTCATAACACTGCTGTCTCCAAAGAAATTCTTCAAGTCCTCTCTCCCTTAATGTCTCACAACCAGTTACTTTTATATTTGATGTTGGGAGAGCTTTTAGAATGATGTAACAAGTTTTCAGATATTTCCTTGGAAAATCCACATCCTCGTCTAGCACCTCACTTCAGTGTCTGAAATTATCAACCTAGAGTCTTGGCTGAAACTATCTTAGCATCCTGTTGGATTTATGACCACTGTAACCAAATAATCCTGATAAGAACGGTTAACAAATATTTATTAAGTATGCAGCCACAAAAGAAAAACGCCTCTAGCCCTCTGCCTGTGTAGGACAGTTTAAAAACAGCCTGCTGCCTGAATCCTATCCATGGACATACTTTGGGTGATCCTCATAATCTTTCATTTTTTCTTGAATCTATTGCCAGTATTTACAAATAGAGGAATTTTAACCTCTGGATTTTAAGATCTAGATTCCTGGCTTTAAAAAAACAGAAGATGTGGGGACTCCCCTGGTGGCGCAGTGGTTGAGAGTCCGCCTGCCGATGCAGGGGACACGGGTTCGTGCCCCGGTCCGGGAGGATCCCACATGCCACGGAGCAGCTGGGTCCGTGAGCCATGGCCGCTGGGCCTGTGCGTCCGGAGCCTGTGCTTCGCAACAGGAGAGGCCACAGCAGTGGGAGGCCTGCGTACCACAAAAATAAAAACAGAAAATGTGGCAATGCCGGGCCGGCATTGCTGCCTGGCATAGTTAGCTGGAGGTGGTGGAGGCTGACCCCTTTGACAGGAGGGACTCCATTCCCTCTTGACTCTGTGACCTGAAGCCAATGTCAGTTGCCATTTATCATCATTGGGCTCATACAGTTACCTTTTCTTAAATTAAGGACTAAAGTGAAATATTTCTGGTACTTCTGTTTCTTAACAAAAGAGAAAAAAAAAAAGATAGTCCAAAAGAGCCGTGGAAGGGAGAGACATAATTTATTTAGAGATACAAAGTATTCTTATGTGTTTAATGTGCAGTTAGTGTGTTTGTGTACGTGTGTGTGTAAAAGACAAGATGCCATTGGAAAATAACCCATAAATATAATCATGGTTACTATACAAAAATATGTGGTGAGAAAAAGACATTTCAACAGGATTTGTTTTTAGTGCAACTAAAATAAGTTGTGTGATTTGCTGCAGGAGGGCACTACATTCTCCCACTTCCCTGGCGTATGTTATGTTCTTACTTGGCCCCTGATGTTTCAGTTTGCAGCAAGGGGAAAACATTCTCTGGCCTCTCTGGAGGGAATCAGCCAAAATGCGGATTCATTGTATGTCCAAGGGGGTCTTAGCTCAGATCTGAGAAGGAGTAACAGGATAGTTTCCCCAAGGTTATGGCCACTTGGAGAAAAAGCAACAGGTGTTGGCAAGTTAATGAGGTTTTCTTTTTCATGGAATGATAAGATAGGATTGTTGAAAGAGTATTCAACTTTGAAATTAACTCTTTTGGCAAATTTTGTTTTCAGTTTATTTTTTAAATTGAAACCTTATTGATTTTTATAAGTTCCTGTTAAGCAAAGTCTCTTATCCATTTATCTGAACTAGAGCAAAACCAGAATTATTTTGAGGAAAGGCTTTCACTTGCTCAAGTATATTCTCTTAGGAGGCAAGCCTTCTGATGAGTTGTGTGTTGGAATTGTTATATCTTCAGTTTTAGGAAGAGGAATTATTCTCTCCCTGCAGCTCTGCTGCTTATGAAAGTGCACAGTCTGGCCTTAATTGGTCTTGCAGAGTGGCTCCTGTGAGCTTCTTGTCAGTGTGTGTAATTTCCCTCTTTTTGCCATTCACTGTTTATTAAAGACTGAGTTCTTTGAAAGCTGTGCTGCATGGCCTTTCCCAAACAGTTTTTTGGTCTTGGTATTGGGTTTTACCCTCAGATTAAGCGAGGCCAACTGAGAGCTACATTCCTAGACCACCTTATTTTGGCGAAGCTACTTTACACACACACACACACACACACTTTGCAATCATTGAATAAAGCTATACGAAACAATCTTATGACACTTCCTGTCATTTCTTTATACAAATATTTTTGAGGACACAGAGGAAACTTCCCTAAATTCTTAGTATCAGGAAGAGCTGGGGGTTGGGGAGGCGGGTGGGATGAATTGGGAGGTTGGGATTGACATGTATACACTAATATGTATAAAATAGATAACTAATAAGAACCTGCTGTATAAAATAAATAAATAAAATAAAATTGCAAATCAAAAAAAAAGGAAGAGCTGGGATTCTCCTAGTTTATTTTATGGACACTGTAAACCCTTAAAACAGTGCTTTGCGTTCAGTTTTAGCGGTGAGAAATCTTGGGGATATATCTATGATCCTCTTCCAGCAAGCACATAAAACCTTAGGACAACCACTTTTGGTATTCTTATCCTGGCTGCTTTTTATTATTTTTATATATTTATAATATTTAAATATTATTTATTATTTTTTATTATTTTTCCTATGCTGATTTCCCCTTTGCCTACAAGATTCTTAAAAAGATTTTCTTCTTTTTTAAAATCTTGTACTTCAGAAAATTTTGTAAAATTTCTTCAACTTTGTTTGAGAATATGAGGCAAGATACAGAGAAATCAAGTACAATATCAATGATTTACCATTTGTTGCAAACGTATTACCAAATTGTTTTTAGCTTTCATTTTAAATTTCCTGTCCTTTATGAAATCAGGTCTGTCGCTTCTTTGTGGCTGTCATGAAGAGGATCATTGCCATGGATCTGAGCACCCCTTGCTACCATATTTTTACCCCGTAGCTAACATGACTGATTCAACATAAATCTTAGAGCTTATAGCTTAGAGGTAGCAGAGGTTGCTTCTGACCCTCTTACTTCTCCAAGGGTCCCATTTTGTGGCTAACTAAATTTCAGTTTCAAGTACCACATTTGAACAGGAGGACAGTTATATGTCAGCATAGGAGTGGTTGGCCTATAACGCCTGGGAAACACCTGGCATTGAACCTGGTCCTTCACAAGACAGGTGTTCAGCAAGAGTTTGGTGACTTAAATTTACTTGCGGCTTGTGTGTTTGGATCTGGAAGCAGTTGCCCGCCCTTGTGGTCTGGGTCTGGGTTGGGGAGTGTAATCTGCTAGTGTCAGCAGTGGCTTGATACCAGTGACATTTTCTGCTTTGCTTTTCTTTTTCAGAATATGATCGGTTGGGCTTCCTCCTGAAGCTGGACTCTAAACTGTGAGTAGAATGAGACAGTTCCTTGACTCTGTTGTAGAGAGGTCTGAGAGCTGGGGGCCAACCTCGAAGGGCCAGCTCTCATCACACCTGTGGTTGTTGGCGGATCCCTGAGGCCTCTGTCCTCAGTCTGTCAGCTGAAGCTTAGAGCACATTACAGTCTGCAGGGGCCTGGAGAGGATGAGATTGTGGGTGCAAACATAAGGCCTTAGATTTGGCTGGCACAGGAAGCTTGTTACAGAAGGAGCACCCGCCAGGAGTTTGAAGGACAAGGAGGAAAGGCTTCCGCTGCAGAGTGGAGGATGATCGAGTCACAGCAGGAGGCATTGCAAAGCCTTTCAAAGATGCTCTGCAGCCAGGCATGCAAAGCCTTCTGTGCTCAGGCTTCCTGCGTGCTTTAACTCCTGTCTCTCTCCCACAGGTCGATCCTCCCTTTCCCTCTACTCTTCTGTATGTTTTTTTATCTGTGTCTGAAATCCCCTTTCCTTGCATGTCCACTAGGAAAACTTAAAGTCTACCTCCTTCCTATACAGAATTAATTATCTCTTCCTCTGCTTCCTGTGAATTTTCTACCTCTGACACCCATTATCTCATTATACTCTAATTAACTGTGTAATAGTTATTAATGTATTAAGAGCACAGGCTTGGAACCAGGCCATGCTTGGTTCAAATCCCAGATTGCCATTTCCTTTCTTTCTGATTTGGGGCAGACCACTTAACCGCTCTGAAGCTCAGTTTCACCTGTAACATGAGGACATCAGTATACCTACCTCACAGGGTCATTGTAAGGATTGAATTGAAATGGTGAATTTACAGGGGCTTTCAGATAGGTATCTAATTCTTTCAGAATCCTTCCCTGTCCTGGCCCTCTTTGTCACCCTAGCACCTAGGCAGCCCTGCCATATGTTTGTTAGGTGCTCAGTAAACACTGAATTCATGGCTGCGTGGGCAAATCAAAAAAAAAGGAAGAGCTGGGATTCTCCTAGTTTATTTTATGGACACTGTAAACCCTTAAAACAGTGCTTTGCGTTCAGTTTTAGCGGTGAGAAATCTTGGGGATATATCTATGATCCTCTTCCAGCAAGCACATAAAACCTTAGGACAACCACTTTTGGTATTCTTATCCTGGCTGCTTTTTATTATTTTTATATATTTATAATATTTAAATATTATTTATTATTTTTTATTATTTTTCCTATGCTGATTTCCCCTTTGCCTACAAGATTCTTAAAAAGATTTTCTTCTTTTTTAAAATCTTGTACTTCAGAAAATTTTGTAAAATTTCTTCAACTTTGTTTGAGAATATGAGGCAAGATACAGAGAAATCAAGTACAATATCAATGATTTACCATTTGTTGCAAACGTATTACCAAATTGTTTTTAGCTTTCATTTTAAATTTCCTGTCCTTTATGAAATCAGGTCTGTCGCTTCTTTGTGGCTGTCATGAAGAGGATCATTGCCATGGATCTGAGCACCCCTTGCTACCATATTTTTACCCCGTAGCTAACATGACTGATTCAACATAAATCTTAGAGCTTATAGCTTAGAGGTAGCAGAGGTTGCTTCTGACCCTCTTACTTCTCCAAGGGTCCCATTTTGTGGCTAACTAAATTTCAGTTTCAAGTACCACATTTGAACAGGAGGACAGTTATATGTCAGCATAGGAGTGGTTGGCCTATAACGCCTGGGAAACACCTGGCATTGAACCTGGTCCTTCACAAGACAGGTGTTCAGCAAGAGTTTGGTGACTTAAATTTACTTGCGGCTTGTGTGTTTGGATCTGGAAGCAGTTGCCCGCCCTTGTGGTCTGGGTCTGGGTTGGGGAGTGTAATCTGCTAGTGTCAGCAGTGGCTTGATACCAGTGACATTTTCTGCTTTGCTTTTCTTTTTCAGAATATGATCGGTTGGGCTTCCTCCTGAAGCTGGACTCTAAACTGTGAGTAGAATGAGACAGTTCCTTGACTCTGTTGTAGAGAGGTCTGAGAGCTGGGGGCCAACCTCGAAGGGCCAGCTCTCATCACACCTGTGGTTGTTGGCGGATCCCTGAGGCCTCTGTCCTCAGTCTGTCAGCTGAAGCTTAGAGCACATTACAGTCTGCAGGGGCCTGGAGAGGATGAGATTGTGGGTGCAAACATAAGGCCTTAGATTTGGCTGGCACAGGAAGCTTGTTACAGAAGGAGCACCCGCCAGGAGTTTGAAGGACAAGGAGGAAAGGCTTCCGCTGCAGAGTGGAGGATGATCGAGTCACAGCAGGAGGCATTGCAAAGCCTTTCAAAGATGCTCTGCAGCCAGGCATGCAAAGCCTTCTGTGCTCAGGCTTCCTGCGTGCTTTAACTCCTGTCTCTCTCCCACAGGTCGATCCTCCCTTTCCCTCTACTCTTCTGTATGTTTTTTTATCTGTGTCTGAAATCCCCTTTCCTTGCATGTCCACTAGGAAAACTTAAAGTCTACCTCCTTCCTATACAGAATTAATTATCTCTTCCTCTGCTTCCTGTGAATTTTCTACCTCTGACACCCATTATCTCATTATACTCTAATTAACTGTGTAATAGTTATTAATGTATTAAGAGCACAGGCTTGGAACCAGGCCATGCTTGGTTCAAATCCCAGATTGCCATTTCCTTTCTTTCTGATTTGGGGCAGACCACTTAACCGCTCTGAAGCTCAGTTTCACCTGTAACATGAGGACATCAGTATACCTACCTCACAGGGTCATTGTAAGGATTGAATTGAAATGGTGAATTTACAGGGGCTTTCAGATAGGTATCTAATTCTTTCAGAATCCTTCCCTGTCCTGGCCCTCTTTGTCACCCTAGCACCTAGGCAGCCCTGCCATATGTTTGTTAGGTGCTCAGTAAACACTGAATTCATGGCTGCGTGGATGGCTGCATGGCTGCACGGATGACAGGTGGATGCCCGTGTGCTTCCCTCATTAGACTGGGCTTCCTGGAGATTGGGCTCTATCCAGTCTGCATTCGTGCCCTGCACAGGACCCCTCACGTGGTGGATGTGCAGGAAATGGTTGCAGAACTGCCTGTGGCTCCTTTCTGTGGTTAGTCATCTTTGTACACCTCTGCCCCTGTCCTGTACCAGACAGACGTGAAAGATAAGAATTGTGTCTCTTTCTGTCCTCTCTTGCATGAGGCCTTGACCACAGCTGCTTCTGATAGTGACAGCTGCACCTACATACAAGGCATCAAACCCAGGGTTATTTGGCTTTCCCCACTGAATTGTCTGGCATCTAGCCCCTTTTCCTGGCAACTGGCTTCTTGGCTCTGGTGCCTCATACTATGAGTTCAGGTGTTGTAATTCTCCCAGCTTTTATACATCATGGAGGCAGCCATGAGGGAAGAACAGTCTCTTCTATCTACCAAGCTAGTATAGAGATGTCAGTCACATGTTAACATCTAGGGAATGGGGCTTGATTATGCTGGAAATCCATAGGCTTCTTCCTTAGAAAATTCTTAATTTAGTGCTCTGGGCAAAAAACAAATCAAGCATAAGCTCTAAGCAAGTGAAATGCCTCCAGAACGGAAGAGATGTAGTAATTTACCAAGTTGAATCACACTGATGAACAAGAGACATGTTATCCAGGACACGTTAACTATATTATTTAAACTGTCTTCAGCAGTGTAAGGAGGGGAATTAAGAGGACACTCCTGCCCTGCTGACCTGACAGTTGGGTGGTACATAGTAAGCTGTTGTATAGCTTTCTTTTGTGTACCAGACCAGTTCCATAAAACATTTGAGTCAACTTGGTCTTTAGCCTGGGGAACTGGCTTGGCTTCATTATATTTAACTCACAATTTAAGGTATAAGCTAGAACTTCCCTGCCTCTTACTGTAAAAACTTTTCTAATCCAATGCTATCTTCAGAACAAAGCACAGATACATGGGGAAAGGTTTTTACCTGCTTCCAGGGAGAAGTTTCCAAGTTAAGGATCCTGGGTTTTGGAGGTAATTCCTTAGCAATATTCAGATCTCCCCTTATGAAGTCTTTCTCTGCATGTTGTGTTCTATTTCTGATGTATAGGAAAGGACCTGAACTTGGATCAGAACTGGATTTGAATTCTGCCCCTTCTGCTTAGAATTATATGACCTTAGATCATTCATTTTGGCTCTCCGAATCACAATTTTCCTTTATGAAAAACATAGATAATAATACCCATTTCCTAAGGTTTTTATGAAGAATAAAAGAAAGGATTCTATGAATAAATATACAAATGTAGGAATTTCTCTTTGTTTATCTTGATTGGATTAATTTAGCTTTTATAGTATATGAATTCATATGTTCTGGAAAATTTTTAGCCATTATCTCTTTAAATTTTGCCTCTGCCCCATTCTCTCTCTACTCCTCCTCTGAAACTCTGATTCAGTGTAAGGCCTTCTCATTCTAGCCTCCAGGTCTACTAACTTCCACATTTTCCATCTTTTGATCCTTTCTGCCTTGAACTGGAACCCCAAAGGACTCAACTTAAGGATAAACTAGAACTAAACCTGTACCTCTGAATCAGGACTGCAGGAAACATTGCCAGAGCTCTGAGCAGATCAGGGCAATAAGTCAATAAAAGGAAATACTTGATACTCACAGCCAGGGCTCTCATCACTCAGATGATCCACGGACTTCAAGCTATGAACTCCGTCCAAGGTCTTCCAGACTGGCAGTGCCTCCAAGCTCCTGGCAGAAGCAATTGCAGTCCCTCTCTGGAGGAAGACGTGAATTCCTCACAGATAACTTTTCAAGGAAATGAATAGCTCACAGGAAAAATTACTAAGCACATAAGGAAACAAGACTCCATCAGAGAGAACCATGAACAACAGACAACAGAGGGGTACCCACAAAGACTTCTGAAATTGGAATTACCAGACACAGTTTATAAAGCAATTAGATAGATCGGTTCAAGACAGCAGAGTAGAAGGATGTGCTCTCACTCCCTCTTGCGAGAGCCCTGGAATCACAACTAACTGCTGAACAGTCATTAACAGGGAGACACTGGAACTCA